TCCAAAGATAGGCAGTCAGGGCTTATAGGGGACCTGGGATGATACCTTTGCAGCCCAGGATCTTTCATCTTCCTTCTATCAAAGGCGAACTTTTGAAATGACTAATAAAACGGATCCATATTTAGTGGTAATGACACAATACAGTAAATAATGGAAACAGTGAACTGCAAAATTATACACATAAATCCAAATTATGTTATAGAGAAACAATGATAACAGATAATCCGTTATCTTTAGTTGGAAAGATTGCCTTTTTTTGGTGCTGTTAGGTATTTTTAGTTTTAGTAGTCACATAATCACTTTTATAGGAGGAAAAATACTTTGATGGTTGTACATAAAATTTAGTTTTTGTTTTATCATTTTTTAAGTTTCTTTAATCACTTTATAATTATTTTTTATTTCAGAATATTACAGGGTACAAATGCTCCGATCACATAAATTGCCTTTGTGCCACCCAAGTCAGAGCTACAGGTGTGCCCATCCCCCAGAGAGCATGCATCAGGCCCATTAGGTGTGAATTTACCCATCTTCTCCTCCCCCCCTCCCACCTACCCCATCTCTGATGAATGTAACTTCCATACATGCACAAAAGTGTTGATCAATTAGTACCAATTTAATGGTGAGTACATGTGGTGCTTGTTTTTCCATTCTTGTGATACTTCACTTAGAAGAATGGGCTCCAGCTCTATCCAGGATAATATAAGAGGTAGTTCACCATTTTTCTTATGGCTCAGTAAAACTCCACGGTATACATATACCACATTTTATTAATCCACTCATGTATTGATGGGCACTTGAGTTGTGTCCACATCTTTGCAATTGTGAATTGTGCTGCTATAAACATTTGAGTGTAGATGTCTTTTTTATATTAATAGAATGTCTGTGTTTCCTTTGGGTAAATCGCCAGTAGTGGGATTGCTGGATCAAATGGTAGTTCTACTTTTAGTTCTTTGAGGTATGTTTGTACTCCTTTCCATAGAGATTGTACTAGCTTGCAGTCCCACCAGCAGTGTATGAGTGTTCCTGTCTCTCCACATCCACGCCAACATTTGTTGTTTTGGGACTTTTTGATAAAAGCCATTCTCACTGGAGTTAAGTGATATCTCATTGTGGTTTTGATTTGCATTTCCCTGATGATTAGAGATGTTGAGCATTTTTTCATGTTTGTTGGCCATTAGTCTGTCTTCTTTTGAAAAGTTTCTGTTCATGTCTTTGCCCACTTTTTAATGGGGTTGTTTGATTTCTTTTCTTGAGTTTTGATTTGCTTGAGTTCTTTATAGATTCTAGTTATCAGCCCTTTGTTGGATGTATAGCATGAGAATATTTTCTCCCATTCTGTAGGTTGTCTATTCACTCTAGTGATAGTTTCCTTGGCTGTGCAGAAGCTTTTTAATTTGATTAGGCCCCATTTATTTATTTTTGTTGTTGCTGTGATTGTTTTTGGGGTGGTCTTCGTAAATTCTTTGCCTAGGCCAATGTCTCTAAGAGTTTTTCCAACATTTTCTTCCAGAATTCTTATGGTTTCATGCCTTAGGTTTAAGTCTGTCATCCACCATGAGTTGATTTTTGTGAGAGGTATGGGTCCTGTTTCAGTCTTCTACATGTGGCTATCCAATTTTCCCGGCACTATTTATTGAACAGGGATTCCTTTCCCCAGTGAATGTTTTTGTCTGCTTTGTCAAAGATCAGATGGCAATATGAGGATGGTTTTATATCTGGGTTCTCTGTTCTGTTCCATTGGTCAAAGACAACCAAAGGACTAAGTTCAGAACAATTGATATTTTCTCACTCATGGAACTGTGGTAATTTTGGCATTGTCACAGAGACAGAAGATGTATACAACTAGTCCCTGCCTTGTAGGAGCTGCCTTTTCAGCTGAATATTCTATTTAAACTCTGAGAAAACAGTTTAGAGACGGAGTCCCAATTGATTCAAGTACCTGGTGATAAGTACTGGTGGTACGTGTTACAGAAGGGGTGAGCCTACGATTCTATTTGTTTCAAAGTTCTATGCTATTTAAATTTTCTTTCTGAGAATATTTGGGCTTGACGGGGCTTTAGGGAGAATGCAAAAATCCAAATGTAGCAAATGATTTCCTTTATGATGGGCAGTCATCTGAGTCCTTTGTATCTCCCACACTGCACTGTAAAAAGAAGCTTAGATTACAAATAAGCACATGGGATCCCATTGCAGCAGGCAGTTGCTCAGTAGTTACAAGCACCAATTGATGTAGACAGACCTGGATTTCTCTTGGCACCTAGTAGCTGCGTGACCCTGGGCATTACTGAATTATACAGTGAGACGTTCACTAGGTTTAATTGACATCACATGAGAAAACATAAAGTTACTTAGCACAGTGTCGAGGCATAAAAGACAATACATATTAACAGGCATTGTCATAATTACTGTTGAGAGTGGCTAGGTCTTTGAAAAGAGGGAAGACGACAGGATGAAATGGGACGTGGGAGAAGCTACGTCCAGAGGGAGCTCAATGTTGTGGCACCTCAGGTGACAGCCAGAGATGGTCCCACAAGGAGTAGGGTGGGTGCCGAGGAGAAGCGGCACCCACTGTCCTGGGAGTACTGGTCACAGCAAATCCGGATCCAGTCCTGAAGCGGTGGGGCAGGTTATATAGTGGGACTAGAGTAGACTTCAGGAGCTGCTAATTGGAGCTGGGCCAGGAGGTAAGCGGGTAATTTTAGAGACAAGGACAAAGCCAGGGAGTTAGAGGTATCCAGTTACAGAAGGATTCAGACCATTTGCTAAATAGGTGTTGGACTATTTTTCCTAGTAACCTGCTAACCAAGTTTCTGCTAACCAAG